ACTGCCGGGGTGACATTGGGGTGTCCCAGAGTGGGGGGTCCCGCCGTGGGTGCCTCCGCCCGCCCCCCCCATCCCCCGCACCGGGGCTGTGACAATGACACCGGTACCGGGGTTGGGAGAGGGCGGGGGGCGCGGGGGGACAGACCCCCAAACCGGGACCCCCAACCCCCAAACTGGGACCCCGAACACCCAAAACTGGGACCCCAAACACCCCCAAACTGGGACCCCCAACCCCCCAACGGGACCCCCCCACCCACCCGGGGGGGGGATGGGCGTCCGGTTCTCACGGGCCCAGTATAAACCAGTACAAACCAGTATAACCAAATGTAACCCAGTATAACCTGATCCAAGCCAGTACAGCTCATTCCAAACCAGTATAACCCAGTACAACCCAATACAACCCCAAATAACCCAGTACAAACCAGCACAGGCCAGTTCAACCCAATATAAAATAACATACCCAGAATAACCCAGTGGAAACCATTACAAACCAGTACAACCCAGTACAGCTCCCGGTACCACCTGATTGTTGTGGGAAAAGCTCACAGACCCACCCCAAAAACCCCCTGGGAAGTGCCCAAATTCCCCCAAACCCCCCTCAGGTAAGGCCTCACCTGCCAGGGCTGCTCCAGGTGGGATTCCTCACGGCTCCTGCTCTTTTCTCCCCTCATGTTTCCCATTCTTTTTTCCCCTCACGTTTCCCACCCATTTTCCCTTGTTTCCCGCCCTTTTTACCTCACGTTTCCCACCCTTTTCCCTCATTTTTCCTGCTTTTTTTCCCTCACGTTTCCCTTAATTTTCCCCTCACAGTTCCCGCCCTTTTTCCCCCCTCATGTTTCCCGCCCTTTTCCGTAAACTCCCTCACGGAGCCGAAAGGACCCGAACGCCGCTCCGAGGAGACGGCGGAGACTGCCGAAGAGAGCCGGAAAATCCCGAAATAAACCGGAAATTTCCGAAGGAATGCTGCGATTGTCGAACACTGCCGGAGATTTCCGAGTGTCGGCGGAGAAATCCGAGTGCTGGGCGGAGATTGCCGAAACCGGACGGAGATTGCCGAAGGGGGGCGGAGCTTAGCGAGCCGCCGGAGCTCCCCTCGGTCTTTCCGTTTCCGGCGGCCGCAGGGAGCGGAGGTGCGGCGTGGGGCTCCGGTTTGGGGCGGCCCGTGGGGGTTCCTGGTGCCGGAGGAGGGGTCCCCATCCCCGGGGAGGGTCCCTAAGGGCGGGGGGAACGGGATGGAGCGGGGAGCGGGCTGTAAGCCGCGGCGCCGGTGTGGCGGCGGGCGCTGAGGCCTCTCCCCGGTGCCCGCAGGCGCCATGTCGGCCCATTTGCAGTGGATGGTGGTGCGGAACTGCTCCAGTTTCCTGCTGAAGAGGAACAACCAGACCTACAGCACCGTCAGTGCGGGGAGGGGTCACCCCGAAACCGGGAGGGGAGCGGGGAACGGGGTTGGGGATCCTCGGTGACCCCCAAAACCCAAAAAAGCCCCTTTAACATCCAAAGGGGGTCCTTCAAATACTTGGGGTTCCCCCAAACACCTAGGGACCCCCCCAGATCCTCATGGGAGCCCCTCAAATTCTCAGAGCCCACCCCAAACCCCTGGGCTTCCACCCCTGCCTCTCTCCCCAGCCCCCTGAGCACCTCACAGATTTTTGGGGTGCCCTTCAAATTGTCGGGGACACCCCCAAATCCCCCCAAATCTCCTTTGAACCCCTCAAATCCCCTCTGAACCCCCGCAAATCCCCTCTGAAACCCCCAAATCTCCTTCAAATCCTCCCAAATCTCCTTTGAAACCCACCCAAATCTCCTTCAAACCCTCCCCAATCTCCTTTGAAGCCCCCCAAATCCCCTCTGAACCTCCCCAAATCCTACTTGAACCCCTCAAATCTCCTTTGAACATCCCGTCTCCTTTGAACCCCCCCCAAATCTCCTTCAAACCCTCCCCAAATCCCCTCCGAACCTCCCCAAATCCTCTTTGAACCCCTCAAATCCCTTTTGAACCTCCCCAAATCTCCTTTGAACCTCCCCAGTCTCCTTTGAACCCCCCCAAATCCCCTCTGAACCCCTCAAATCTCCTTTGAACCCCCCTAAATCTTATTTGAAACTCCTCAATTTCCTTTGACGCCCCCCCAAATCCCGTCTGAGCCCCCTCAAATCTCATTCAAACCCCCTTAGAACCCCCCAAATCCCCTTTGAATCCCCCCA